CAATCCAACCAATGGATTCCTCATCAATCCAATTCAACGTCCCACATGTCAAGGGCCATGGTACACTCTCCAGGCTTGATCAACACATGATCATACACTAGGACCGGGCTGAGCATAATGGGCTTGCAAATTCAGCCATACACCCCCCTTCTCAGCTTCTAACAGGCCCAGTTTCTTTTCTTTTTTTATTATTTACTTTATTTTAATTTTGTTAATTATTTTCTTTTTTTACAAAATAACACAAAATCATGTTTTTTATTAAATAAAAAAATCACAAAAAAAAACCTAACAAATCTTTTTTTCATAAAAAATATTTTGTTTCTTTAATTAACTAATTAGTTTAATTATTTAGGGAAATTTAATTTTATTTTCATAATTTAAATCAATTATAATTAGGGTTTTAATTTATACATAACCTAATTAATATTTTCTCAAAAAAATAAAATAATAACCTAGATATTTTTTCAATTAAATTTTAGGGTTCTTTAATTGTTCTCGCATTTAATTCGCCGCGCGCTTTTAATTTCCTTTTTTATTATTATTGTAACTATTTCAAGTTTGTAATAGTAATTAGGGTTTCAATTCCGCATCTTTACTTTCGGTCAAAATAATTATGTATCTGCAAAAGCCTTGTAATAGCTAGGACTTTAATTTCTCGCATTTTAATTTCCGCAAACTATAAACTGCTTAGATGTATGTTAATAGAATTGTATGGAAAGACTAACTGAAAATTAATACGGTAGAAAACCCTAAATATGCAAAGACAAATTAACTTAAAATTACACTCACACATGCTCACTCCTAGGGTTTACTCCACTCCGGTTGCCTTCGGTAAACGGTCATTAAGTATAGGGTTTGTTAGTGGTTATCCTCTAGCACCGAAAGATCTAAAATGACCCATTCAGATGTTGCCTCGGAAAAAGATCTTTAAGGCTTTAGGATGATTACTAACATTTCCTAACATTGCTTTTGTGATCATACTTGTCCCTTCGAATGTCCCTAAAAAAATCCAACGACGATGCTACCTATTCCTCAATAATGGGATAGCATTGTCTAAAGGAAAACGAACAGTCTTTTTCGAGTAGGTAGAAAACTCTTAAGTACTTGCTCAAACAAACAAACTTTTTCACACAAACACTTTCCAAACAAAGTTTTCAAAAACAACTTCGTAACACTCTTGAGGACAGAAACAAGGGTTAAAACGAAGTAAAACAAAAACTTTTCAAAACAAGCACACACAAGCAATTTCAAAATGAGCAAGTACCTAAGAGCCAGTGGAAAACCACAGATATAAAGGGTGCTAACACCTTCCCTTTCTATAACCTACCCCCCGTACTCATAAACATTCTCGAAAAAGGTTTTTTCTGTTCTTTTTCCTTTTCCTGATTGGATAAAATAAAAGTCGATGGTGACTCTTGCTTACCGCAACATTTGCGAACAAAAAACGTAAACCAGTATTAACAATCGGTTCTGCCACCATATCACGGAACTAGCGACTTTGCTGGGGAATAAAATATAAAGTGGGGTAAACCTTAGGATCTAGGTCATATTTAATTGCTTTCTCTGGATTGTCTTGCTTGCTTTATATTTATGGGAGTTGTTTGGGTTATTTGATCCTACACCCGGATCAGGGAAACACCTTTTAGGTAAGTAGCAATAAACTGTGAGGGAGTTGTGCTGGGGTATATCGACACGGTTAAAGCAGTAGCTATGTTGATGTGGCACTTTGGTTGGTACCCGTAACCCTTGAGTCAATCGGGAAGTTGTACAGGGCCGCCGCATGGTGTCATAAAGCATCAACTGACCTTAGAACCTTTAATTGCACAACTTGGCCAGTAGGACGTAGCGAGATGGCCGACTTTGGTGTATGCCCAAGGTCGACAGATACTCGATGCTACACTTATTGAGGTTTGACTCTTGAGTTTTGTTTGGTAGCGAGTCAATTTCCAATTGAACGAAGCTGGGGGAAAGATCAGTGATATTGAGATCCCTTTAGAACCCGGTTACATATTTATAGGACAGGTTGAACCAATCCAGCTTCAAGAGGGTATGACCTTAAAACTCAAGCAGGCCTTAAACCTAAGGACTTAGTGTGATTTGTCTGTGTTTGATATACCTGTGATTTCTCATGACATCATAAACATCATACCATAGCATATCATGACTAACCATTTCAAGGATCTCGAGGGCCTGTGATGCAGGTTATGATAAATCAGACGTCTAGCAAGGGGCAAGGGGATTTATGTTCCTCTAGCCAATGTCGTCAGAAGATCAAAACTCAACAACTTGATTCAGGAGCTATGACTCACTTGATATGGTGAGCTTGACTCTTGTAGAAGGACATTCAATGATACGAAGTTCTTTAATCAAAGTTGCAATCAAATTCTAACAGTATCTTGTGTTTACCCCGTGATATCCTTGAAAACATTGCATACATATCATACATATCATTTTATAACTAGATTCATAACAGGTTTCTCATATCCTCCGCTGTTTATTTCAGCAATGGCTCTTGAACAAACTGTGAACGATCTTCAGACTCAGAACACCCAGTTCTAGCAAATGATTGTGGCTCTGGCCAAAGGACAGGAAGAGTTGAAGGCTCTGATTGTTAAGAAGAACAAGAAGACCAAGAGGACAACTGATGTGGTAAATATGGGCAGAAGGTTCCGAGGGTCGTCAAGATGGGTTGTTGAGCTAGCTTCTTCATCTAAAGAGGGGGAGAATCAAGAGGTTGAAACCAGAGAAGAGGACCCTAGTCCTAAAGAGTCTGACAATGAAACTGATTATAATGAGGAGCAGTATCCTCTGGCTGATGAAAGGTATAAGCAGTTAGAAGAGCGCCTGAGTGCTACGGAAATCCAGAAGGTTCATGGGCTGGATTTTGAAGAGTTGGGTCTGGTCTCCGGAGTTGTCATCCCCCTAAAATTCAAGGCACCGATATTTGCTAAGTATGATGGGGTCTCTTGTCCTAAAATGCATCTCTATTTCTATGTGAGGAAGATATAGCCTCATAGTGCTGACAAACACTTGTGGGTTCACTTCTTCCAAGACAGTCTGTTTGGAACACAACTGGATTGGTTCTATCAGCTAGAAAAAGTCAATGTTCGTAACTGGGAAGAACTCGCTGCTGCATTTTACAAGCAATATCAGTATAATGTAGACCTCGCTCCCACCCGTACACAACTCCAAAATCTGTCTATGGGTTCGAACGAGGGTTTCAAGGATTATGCTCAGAAGTGGAGAGATTTGGCTGGAAGAGTTCAACCTCCCTTGGCTGACAGGGAGCTCATGGATATGTTTCTGGGAACTTTGACTGGGTCATTCTTCAACCACCTGATTGGAAGTTCATCGGCGGGTTTTACTGAACTGGTCTTAACAGAAGAAAGAGTGAAAGCTGGAATCCGAAGTGGAAAAATTCATAAGGATACCTCTTCTAGTGCTGCAAGGAAGCCGTTTGCAGGTAAAAAGGAAGTCAGTGTTGTCTATAACCAAAAGAATCAGAATCAAACCGAGCATCGTCCGACAGTAGGGGCTGTTATGATTCCCGCCCCATTATTTTTTAGCAAGCTTAAGGCAGGGTAGGGCGGGGTGGATGGTCCGCTTTGCCACCTCTATACACTTTTGTATTTCTTGAGTCTTTATTTATCATCTTGCAGTTGATATGTAATGTGGAATTGTACTGAAGAAAATTAAGGAACAAAAAGTTGGTTCTTTGAGCTCTGGTCCGCTTTTAGCTAGGCCTATCTCATCTAAGCCATACCTCGAGAAGGATTGATGGAAACATTGTTGAACTATTCTCACAAGCAACACAAATGATCTGGAAAAGTCCTGAGGTGCTCACAATTGTGAGAGTTGTTAGAATAATAATACAAGTGTTAGTAAGTGGGGAAATAGTCCCACATTGGATAGGAATGTGCATACTTGAGTATATATAAGTGGAAGAACTCACTCACCTATCACCTTAAGGTTTTAGGTGGAGAAATGGCGTGTCTCTCACAAAGGTGCATAATCCTCAACTTTGTATCAATGCTCCTAGCAACTCCCCCTAGTAAGGATAAGCCTTATATATGATGATGAACTTTAGTATATGTATGGTATTTTGATGTTTGATTCGGCATCGAGAGGATGGTACATGCAAACACTCTCATGAGCTGGTTAGTGATGCTCGAAAGTGAAAGATATTTTACGATTAAAAAATATGTATCTTCACGTGGCACCTTTTTTGGCTCTTTATATCAAAGTTCTAAGATTTCACTTGCTAAAACATTATGTCGTGATAACTACCTAAAAGAGAAACAAATGTCATAAGATTATTCGTTATGTGATTTGATAGTCCTGGTCCAATCATTTTCTCTGGTCTTGTGTGACTTAAAGACAAGTTCATCTGAAATCCCTAGATCCTAGAACCTTATTGTGGGTTACACTAAAAAGATGACGTCCGCATGATATCATTGAGATGACATTGTTATATAGTGATTATTTGATATGATTGTTGGTAGAATCTTGAAGTATAAAATCTTTTAGGAAACTCTATCCAGGAAGCATATAATAAACTTTAAATTTTCACTTTTTGATCAATAAAAGCAATATATCCCTCTACATGAGGTGAAAATGAAATAATGTTAATAAAAATAAAAATAAAACAAATTATACAAGAAACTTTAACTAACTAATTAGAATGAAAAGCTTATACTTAAATGGTTTTTCTAAAAGAAATGTGTTAAAGATTGTTACAAGAATTCTAAATCAGTTAAGTATATCAATCTCATTTTATTAAATTTTCAATTTTTAGAGAAAAACAATATCCTTACAACACTCATTAGCATTTGCTATAATTTAAAATGAAAGATGATATATCTATTCTCCCAATGGAAAAGTTGTGAAAATCTAGAATTATCAAGTTCTTTTCCATCAACCCACTTGATCACTAGCTTAAGAAGCTCAACACACTAAAGGCTAAAATGGTATAGAAAATTTTGTTAATAATGAATCCTCCATTAAATCTGAAGCAAATGTGGGCAAGAAATCAGTGAACAAAAATTCCTACAAAAAAATATACAGTACAATATCATGTGATAGAATAAAACTAATGGGATATAATTTTTGTAGTTCATAAAGATTTAGAAATGTACCTGTACAAGAAGAATGTATTGTATCTCATTCTTCTAATACTGGAAAAGTACTTTTCGTGGATCGAGTTGACCACTACAATAACTTGAAGGAACTGCAGATATTTCTTGTCTTCCTTTCCACTCTTGGCCAGGTTTGAGAGTGATTGGTTTTTCTACACAAGCAGATTGAACACATAACATGTTTTTGTACTCATCATCCCCCAAATCAGATATGGTTTTCGCTTTCTTGTCCCACGGATTCCATACCACTACAGATACAGATGTACATTACTAATAAACCATCAAAAAACTGCGATGCAATTAACACGATTTCACAGTCATATCACATTTTATATAATCCTTGTGCGCATAAGATTTGATAGACTAACCAGCATCAGGAAGCCCGTCTTTTCGCACTTCAAAAGTTCTCTTCCTTTCATGGTCTATGATAGCAATTTTTGTGGGAGTACTTACGTACACTTTGTCAACCTTCATATATAGTTGAATTAATACATTATACAATACAAGAAACTACTCCATTCATAACATATACTCACTTCAGACTCAAATGTTATAGCATCTCCTTGTTCTGTAAATCGTTGTCTGTTCTTCAAATTGTCTAGATAATCCAATGTCTCTAGTCCTTCTATTCGAACTTCACTGAACATAAATTTATTTAAATATCAACATCATTCAGATTGCACCAATGTATAGATAGACCAAGATATATATTGATAAAAAAATATATATGGCTCAGCAAAACCTGATATCGGTAACATAGAGGTATGTATGATAGGCAAATGTGAAGGTAAAAGATTTTCCATCTTTATTTGTATTTCGAATTCGGGAGGTCATCATCAGATCTCCGGTCGGTCCCAAAGCTATCCTTAGGCGAAACTCATATCTGCAAGAAATAATGATAAAATATTTTTTTTGACAGTTACCAGAGTTGATTAATCATGTTGAGCTATATATGTATACCTATGAGGCCAATTCTTTGAATCATCTTCAGAGTTTTTAAGAATCAAATCAATGAAAGCTTTACTACTGCTATTTGTTGGAAATGGAGGAGGATTCGGATCTAAGGTCCACAACTTGTTCCTTGCAAATCCATGATGTTCAAGAGAACCAAGATTTGAGAACTGCATATGAATATTCATGAGTACTTAAAAAACACAAACAACAAATGAAAACATACAAGTTCTATGAAATACACATACTTGAGGAAAACATATTGGAATGCCTCCACGTATAGATTTCGGAGGTTTAAAATTAGCCTGCAATGATTCATGTTTTGGAACATTAAAGGGATAATCCAGTGCACGAGACTCTCATTTATTTTATTTATGATTGAATAGGAGAACGTAGTTGGTTACCTTACTACTAACAAATAGTAATTCTTCTCCACGTTCATTTTTCCAGGATGTAACCTGTCCTCCATATAGATACACCTACAAATGAAAATCATTAGATTTTCTATCCAAATGATCATAAATGAAATCAATACATGAATGTGAAAATGTAATAAAAAAATACATGAATGTGAATTGTGAAAATTAATGCAATGGAATTGAAAATGGGATGATTAAATAATTATAAAAGAAAAAAAAGAAGAGAATTGGAAAATGAAATACCTCTGCAGAGAAGCCACGAACTTCTTTAAGAATGATCTTCTCTAAGCCATTAAGGCCTATACATTGTTTCACGTATACCGGTTTTTGTGACATCTCTTACTTCTCTGGTCTCTCTCCTCTCCCAATCAATGGAAATTGGATGTCCTTCTTCCCCTCAATCAACATTTCTCATCTATTAATGTATATATAGGTTATAATTGGTTGAGAGAGAGAGAGACATTTTTTTTCTTTTCATTTTAAAATGAGGACATTTATGTTTTTTTTTTTAATTTGATAAATTGGATATATCGTGAAAGCCATTGTGCAGAACCATAATTAATGTTTTCACTTGGTTGCTAAGCATATGTGTTACATATAAAATTTTATTTTTAGATATTCTTTTTTATTTTTTGTCCTTTTAGATTAGTCCTTTGAGATTCTTGTCTTTCCATATTTTTAACAAATGACAAGAGTTATGATTATGACCTCCCTTGATACTATAAGCGCACAAAACACTAGAATCTTAAGCTTTAGAGATGACCTCACCAATATATTTGACATCTCATTGTTCATGCTAATCTCATATATCATTGAAGTTAGCATACTTCTATTTAGCGTGTTAAGGGAAAATTCTTGAAAAATACTCATACTTAACATAATTATATAGAATTTCTTTGGGAGATTAAAAAAATTCTATTTTAAATCTTTATTTTTCGTTTTCAAAAATATAAATCTCTTTCTCCAAAGTATCATAATTCTCTAATGAAATACCATAAGTATTTTAAAGTTCTTGTATTTATTAGACATTTTATGTTTTCTTTTCAAGTAATTCATTTAAAGAAAGAACTAGTCCATTGTGTGACAAATTTGAAAGGCCTCGTTGATCATTGTTGTTGTATGTGGTATCATTTAGATGTACACCATGTTGATGCAAGGTAATAAAGTGAGAGAAGAAGAATGAACAAAGAATGATAACAAGAAGAACTACAGTTGTATATCAAAAGGGAGATAAGATAAAGTAAGGTACACTATTGATAGCCTAAGATAGCATATTTATACTAAATATTGAAAATGCCAAAAGGCTATATTAAAGAATAAGTATTGGGAATTGTAGAAATTAACTCAATTATCTTTCCAATACCATCCCCTTAATTTAGATTTTCTATCAGAAGCTAACAACACCAATTTCATCTCTCAAGCGAAGAAATTGATCTGTCTTAACTGCCTTCGTTAGAAGATCTGCTAGTTGTTTTTGGGTGCTACAGTGCAGAACTTCTAACACTCCTTTCTGCACTTGATTTATGAGAAAATGATACTTCGTCTCAATGTATTTGCTTCTTCCATGTAGCACTGGATTCTTGGCAAAATCAATTGCAGACTTATTATCAATCATCAGCTTCAGAGGTTCCTCAACTTCAACCTTCAGATCATGCAAGAGATTCAGAAGTCAAACAACTTGACAAGAAGCTACATCACCTGCGATATACTCAGCTTCATACGTTGATAGAGCCACGACAGGTTATTTCTTGGAACTCCAGGAAATGGGACCTCCCAGAAATTTAAACAAGTATCCATAAGTACTTCTCATGTCCACTCTGTCTCCACACCAATCAGAATCAGAATAACTTACTAATTCTGGTTTTGTCTTTCTTTCATAAGGAAACAACACTCCATATTTCAGAGTTCCCTTGATATATATCAGAATTCTGACAGCAGCTTAGAAATGAGACCACTTTGGATTATTCGTGAATCTGCTAACCAATCCAACTGCATAACAAATGTCAGGTCTAGTATTGCATAAATACCTTAGAGGACCAACCAACTGTTTGAAGGTTGTAGTATCAACAGAATCACTATCAGAGTCAGAATCCAATTTTTGATTGGTTTCTAATGGTGTCACAGCAACTTTACAATTCTGCAGCTTAAATCTCTTCAGAAGTTCAAGTTCGTACTTCAACTGATGTAGAATGATACCCTTCTTTGAGTACAGAATCTCCATCCCTAGGAAATATGTCATATTTCCTAGATTTGTCATCTCAAACTCATTCGTCTGAACTTCTTTGAACTTCTTTATATCTTCTGAGCAGCTTCCTGTTAGCAAAATATCATCAACATAGAGACACACCAGAATCATATTGTTATCAGTGTTGCACATAAACTCCATATTCCATCTCACATTTCTGAAACTTCTTCTTCTTGAAAAACGAATCAATTTTCAGATTCCATGCTCTGGGCGCTTGCTTCAGTCCATACAGAGCTTTACTCAACTTGTATACCATCCCTTCCTGATTCTTTTTCACAAATCCAGGAGGTTGTGACACATAAACTTCTTCCTGTGATGGACCGATTAGAAATGCAGACTTCATATCCAAATGCATCAAAGGCCAATTTCTATTTGCAGCTAAAGCAATCACCAGTCTGGTTGTTTCATGCCTAGCTACAGGCGCAAACACTTCAAAGTAATCTACTCCAGGTTTCTGAAGAAAACCTCTAGCTACTAGTTTAGATTTGTGCTTGCCAATTGAACCATCTGGCTTAAGCTTTAACTTAAAAACCCATCTGACACTGATGGTTTTTTCTTATCTGGAAGCTTAGTCAATTTCCATGTTTTGTTCCTTTCTATTGCCTCAAGTTCTTCTTTCATGGCATTCAGCCATTCTTTCTTCTTGAGAGCTTCTTCAATGCCCACTGATTCAGAATCTACTAACATGGCACATTGAACGACTTCTCCTTCAGAATCAACTTCATTATCCTACAACATGTCGAAATCTACAAACCATTTTGTTTTTTGTCTGATTCTCTATGGTCTTTGAGCTTGTTCAGAAACTGCACAAGAACTACTACCTTCAGAGTTACCACCTTCAGAGTTTTCACTTCCAGAACTATGATCACCACCAGATTTTGGATCTTCATCAGCATCTGGATCAGAATCAACATCTGGATCAGAATCAGATCCACTGTCAGAATCTCCTTCTGACTCATCTTCATAATCTTCAGAACTTTCTAAAACATCTTCAGAAGCTAACTCTGGTGTTGGCACTACACCAGAATCTGATTGAGACTTGTTCCAATCCCATGCTTGAGACTCTTTCACCACAACGTCTCTGCTGACTTCAACTTTATTAGTTTCTGTAAAATAAAGCTTATACGCACATGTACTGTGATACCCCACCAACAACATTACTTTGCTTCTATCATCCATTTTTTGTCTTCTAACTTCTGGAACGTGTTTGTAACAGACATAGCCAAACACCTTCAGATAACTGACACTCTGCTTATCTCCAGTCCATTTTTCTAAAGGAACAACTTCCTTCAGCTTCTTTGTTGGACACCTGTTCAAAATATATGCTGATGTGGCAGCAACTTCTCCCTATAACGCGTGAGGTAGCTTTTTTTTCTTTCAGCATGCTTCTGGTTATATCAAGCACAGTTCTGTTTCTTCTTTCAGCAAGACTGTTGTGCTGAGGAGTATATGGGGCAGTAACCTCATGTTTTATTTCATTCTCCTCACAGAACTTCTGAAACTCTGTAGAGTTATACTCACCTCCACTATCCGTTCTCAGAATCTTCAACTTCTGACCACTCTGCTTCTCAGCCTTCACTTTGAACTTGATGAGTGTTACCCATGTCATTCTTGTGAACTTATCCACAAAAGACACAAAATATTTGTTTTCTCCAAGTGAAGGTACTGGAAATGGTCCACACACATCAGAATGTACTACTCCCAGAGCATGCTTCGCTCTGGGGGCTACTTCTGATGAAAATGGCAATCTAGGTTGCTTGCCTTTCATGCATATCTCACATGACTTCTCAGGCTTCATAATCTTCGAAATACCATGTACAAGCTTCTTAGAACATAGATGCCCTAAGCTTCTATAGTTCAAATGCCACAACCTCTTATGCCACAGTATACTGTCACCTTCAGCGTCTTCTGCACTAAGACACATTGTTTCAGTTGTTTTTACATTCACCTTGAATGTTCTGTTGTCTCCTTGTTCAGACTTCATAATCAACTTCTGATTGGAATCATACAACGTCAAGAGATTGTTTTTCATAACAACTTAGAAATCTTTCTCAATCAGCTGACTCATGCTCATCAGATTGCTTCTAATACCAGGAACATACCAAACGTCTTTGATCAGAATGTCTTTCCCATTCTTCACTCTAACTCTGACATCTCCCATACCTTCTGCATTAAGATACTTATCGTCAACACATCTGATCTTTGTTCTCCTTCTGGAGTTAAAGTCTTTCAGCCATTGTTTATTTCCAATTAAGTGATTTGAACAGCCATTGTCCATATACCATCAATCTTCTGAGCATTTTCCATCAGAATCAGAAGCCATTAGTAGCACAGGTTCATCATCAGAGTTTCCCTTAGCCATATACATTTCTTCTGATTTCCTTTCCTTGTTTGACTTACAATCTCTGGCAAAATGACCAAATTATTTACAAGAGTAACATTGAACCTTTTTTTTGTCATACCTCTCCTTTCCTTTATGATATCTCTTATCATCAGAAGTTGAGATTTCTGACTTCGGGAATCTATCACCATGTTTATTCTTCTTCTGGTCTTTCTTAGCAAAAGAAGCCTTCAGAGCTTTCTCAGCTTCCCTCTCAGAAGTTCTCTCAGTCAGATGTAACTCATGCGCTTCTAAACTGCTTTGCAATTCTTCTATTCTCATAGTTTCCAGATCTTTAGAATGTTCAATAGAAACAACAATGTAATCAAACTGAGGAGTAAGCGACCTCAGAATCTTCTCTATGATTACCTGTTCAGACAGAGTTTCTCCACATGCCTTCATCTTGTTAGTGATCAGGATCACTCTGGAGATATATTCAGAAACTTCCTCACTGTTCTTCATGTTCAAGTTCTCATATTGCTTTCGCAGGGATTGAAGCTTCACCTTCTTTACTGATGCATCACCACCGTAACATCTCACCAGTAAATCCTACGCTCCTTTTGACGTTGTCGAATCAGCAATCATCTCGAACACACTTTCATCCACACACTGATGGATATAGAACAGAACTTTCTGATCCCTCTTCCTCATAACCTTCTCAGCAGTTTTATGTTCTTCAGTTGCATCTGTTGCAGCTCGTACATAACCATC